ATTTTGCCCATCAATCTCCAAGGTCCAGGGCAATACTGGAAATCTGGTCCAGTTCAAAGATTCAATTAATCCTACACTGTATGTGCCTACGGTCTTACCCTAGCAGCTGAGACAGGCCACTCTAACCGACTTGGTGGCACAATAGTGTCAGCCTTATCAGGATAGTGTTTCCCCAGACCGATCCACTGGCTGTGAACATTCTTAACTAACACGAGTCTCAATAAGTGTCCAGTTTAAGGGTATTATAAAGAAACATACCAACAGAACATAAATCAAATATGCACTCTTATTCATTTACAATAAACTCATAAAGTACATCATTCTGATTGAAGTTAAGGGCATATAAAACTGTCCAACACTTATTTGTCAAGTGTATATATATATATATATAACTTAAATGTTTGTACCAAATAACAATTATTATTATTATTATTATTATTATTATTATTATTATTATTATTATTATTATTATTATTATTATTATTATTTGTGTTCCATTTCTATCATAAATAAAAATAACTTATTTTAAAAATTATTTTTATTTAATATGATGAATGAATATATAACACAAGAAATGTTTTCAAATGTTCTTGACAAAATTTTGTACATTTTCATTTTTGGGGTTCTATCTTTTTTTAAATATTTATTATTCAATTACGACATCATAGGTTTCTTAGAAAAGCTAGATCATTGACCCACCATCTAGATAAGAAAATAGCTTTGCTTTCAAATTAGTTTTAAATTAGGGAAAATTAAAGTCAGAATCGGCTATGCATTTAATTAGGCTACAGGTTAGTGTAGAAATCAACAAAAGTCTGACAATGGACTCTACTTTTCAAATTTTAAAAAACCATGCCATGACATCAGAGGCTTATGTGGCTGTTGCCAACATGGGACTCTTAATCCATGTTGGAGACAACAAAAAGCTTATACTGAAATTGCCCTTTAATGCTGGGTGATTGGAAAATAAGAATATGGTTTTTAGTTTCTCTCTCTCTCTCTCTCTCTGAGTTGCCTCCCTGTGCTCAACAACTGTGTGATTTGAAAATAAATAAAAATGGTTTCTGGTTTCTGTATTCATGTTCTCTCTATCAATTTCCCTCGTTCTTTCTTTACCAATCGTTCTCCCCCAATCTCTCTCATTCTCTTTCTCGGTCAATCTCTCATTCTATCGTAATTTGTATTGTTCTCCCTCAGTTTCTCTCACACTCATTCTCTTGTTCTTTTTTTTTTTATTTTCTTACACACTTATATGGTATTAATTTAACCATATAAAAGAACATGAAACCAACTTGGTATAGTTCAAAAATCATTATACTGATTTGATAAAAGTTTATAAGAAACTCTTGGTTATGAAATTTACACCAACTTGATAGAAATTTATAACTTGATTGTACAAGTGGTTGGTCCCTTTAGTTCTTTTATACGCTCTGATTAATATTATAAAAGTTTGTAAGAAAAATTAATAAAAAAATGAGAGAGGTAGCAAGAAAAAGACTGGGGGAGAAGGAGATATTAACCAAGAGGGAGAGTGAGGAAGAAGAATGAGAGAGAGAGAGGTTTTGATTTGGCTACATACCAAAGCTGAAAGAGTGAGAGATTGAGAGATGATTGCGAGAGTGAGAGAGAAGGGAGGGAGATTGAGAAGAAGTTGAAAACCTATTTTTGGTATAGGTTTTTTCTTTTGTGTCCAACATGGATTAAGAGTCCCATGTTGTTAACAACCACATAAGACTCTAATGACATGGCAAGGGTTTTTATAATTTGAAATGTAGAGCCGGTTGTCAGAGTTTTATTGGTTTCTGGACCAACCTACAACCTAATCTTAAATGTATAACCGGCTTTGACTATAATTTTCTTTTTAAATTATATATTTCATTTACATTATATAAATAATTTTTACTTATCACACTTAATTTTTGTTTGTCTATGATCTCATTTGATCCAAACCACTAACCCACCACCCAAAAAGAAAATAGTTTGATTTATAGGTTAATATTAAATTTTGTATTACATTTTCATCATTGAAATTTTTTTTGTTATGAATAATACTTATTTTTGTTCAATATAATGAATGCATAATATTAGAGTTGTACCCAATATTTTATTTTTTATAAATATATAACATTAGATATGTGCCCAAAATTTTCTCTATCTTTTTTATTTTTGTGATTCTTTGTATTTTCTATTTTTAAAAATTTTATTATTTGACTATGACATCATTTCATTTTTACGTAGATTTTTTCCATTTCATCATTAATAAAAATAATTCTTACATTTCATACTTATTTATTTTAAAATTTTTATTATTTAATTATGAAATTATTTATTAATCCATTTGACCCCAAATGATCGAATTGCTTGCCCACCACCGGGAGGGAAGAAAACAGTTTTGTTTTCAAATTACTTTTCAAAATATTTATTTTTATACTATTAAAATTAATATTCTGGATTTAATTACAAGAATTTAATGATGAGAAAAATATATCTTAAATATAGGATTTAATGATAAAGAATAGGAAAATATTTTTATTTCCACTTGGTTTTAAATTTTACATTCAATTTCCATCATTAATAAAAAACATTTCTTATTTATAATACTTATTATTGTTTAATATGTATGTTAAAAATGTTTCCAATTTTTTAATTTCTATTTTTATGAATTTTATTATTTAATCATAGCAACATGGATTAACCCATTTGACCCAAAATGGTTTAATTTCTTACCACCACCTCGATGAAAACTCTATTTTTTCTAGGTAGATTTTAAAAGTATAAGCTTTTGTGTTATTCGAATTATTAATTTATTAAGTATGGATTTAATTAATAGAACTTAATGATGAGAAGAAACAAAAATAAATTAAATATAAGATTCATTGAACATGAATGCAAGGTAATAAATTAAAAATTGATTTATTGAGAGGAAATTGAATGTATTGAATATCATAAAATTACCTCTATTCAATTCATTTAATATCAATAGCGACTACTCTATTTGCCCTCACTTGATAAATTTAAATTTAGAGAGATAAATTTTGTCCTCAAAAAAATTTCAGAAATATTCTTGAGGCCATTCGTGCTTTTTAAAATAGTAGTAGTAGTAATAGTAATATATATATATATATATATATATATATATATATATATATATTATATATTGAGCATTTTACGAGCCACTCCTGGTAAATGGTAACGCACCAATACCTTGCAATATTTTGAACCTTAATTTGAACTTAGAAGTACTTCGTGCAGCCACAATATGTATAAAAAATACTTTGCGCACTATCGTGCACACTATGATGCCCTTTGAATTTGATGTTTCCATATTTCCATTCCCAAGCCTTGTCTTTTGCGCTTATACAAGGCTGGAACCTGGAAGGAGATAAACTAATCTAATACTAGTCTCAGATTCAAAAACAGTTACCGACGGATGCAATGGATCTCCAGCTTACACTCCTTGGGGCTGTAGTGCTGTATCATGTTTAAGTTTTTAAGTCTTTAGGCTCAATTTAGAAGGAGTACAAATACAAATACGTACAGTATAAATACATACAAAATACAAGGTTTTATACTCTACTCATTTGAATTTGTACTCACTGTGCTTTAATTTCTTTTGATGTTACTAAGTTTGCATATAAAACCGTAGTGCAAAAAGCTTAGTCTAAAAGGGATCCGTGTAATATATATACTGGAACTCAGTCCCGCTCTTGTTTGTAGTTTTGGTTCTGTTTATCCAATAAAAAATATTACTACCGATTGGGACTCGATGTCTCGTTCTTTTCATGTTTGAAAACCACTGCACGCATGCAGACATCTATCTGACTACTAATGATTCCAACTTGAGAATGAGTAACTGTGGGACTCACCCTTGGCACGTCTTGAATACAGATCGAAGATCAACTAATCATTCTCATCTTGTCATTACCAGTCAAAAGCAAAAAAATGGAAAGAGTTGAATAGGTACAATGAGTGTTTGTGTCTGTGCAAATTCGGGTGGCACAGCTTAGAAAGATTGTTCTCTCGCTACTAATGCTTTCTTTTACTTGCAATAACTAGATCAAGCACCTTAAAAAGTCAAGACTCAAGAAGAACCGGGAGAGCAAAGCAATATGGAGACTTGGGAAAAAAATCAAGAGCCGATTCTGTTAAAACTTAAAAAAGCTTGAAAGTGAGTCATCATTTTTGGATGCTAGAAATGTTGCCACGAAAAGATGGTTATATACTGAAACCAAAGTTTCACCACCCCTTCAACACAACATACTCTCTCTCTCTCTCTCTCTCAACACACTGATGGTATTGACCCATTTATCTTGGCTGAAGTTTGTCGGTCAGTGCAATGTTGCCCGAGGAACTCTAGGTCTCACTGGTGTTTTTGATGGACTAACCCTACATAATCAACAAGTTCAGTAAGTCAACGGCATAGACAACCACATCCACACAGCTGAAAAGAGACTAGTAGTTAGCCACCTTACCTAATAGGAAGTGATCCCAAAACCAACCCGCTGCAGTTGAGTGCAATAATAGCGCTTTCTGCCTGTGCCATAAAGAGGAAAATCTGTTTGGATGATACCAAAAAAAAATGTCCAATACAGAAACAGAATAATATATTTTCACCCTGGTACCTAGCTAATTAGTTTGATACAACGTTGCTAGATGGGTAGGGAAGATGTATCATTAAAGAATATGAACGAGTGAGATGCTCTAATGGGAAACAAGGATCACCAAGGAAAGTGGTGCTTACTGAAACAGTTACAAAAAAAGCCCAATATACCATACAGAGGGATCAGGGGCTAACCTAGCTTGAATCATCCCAGATTATAAACAAGTTTTAAGTTGATAGAAACATTAGAAGAAAATGTTTTCACACAATAATCAGGTAATTGTATCTGCCTTGCTGAATCACCTGAGTCAGGTAAACCATGGCTGCCTTGCAAACTATGGAAAGGCCATTGCCCAATTGGGTCCCAGCTATCTGGGGTCTTGGTAGAGGTGAACTGGATACAGATCTAATCATACAACCTTTTGCATTTTTTCTGTACCAAGTGTGGCAGCTCTGAGATTCATACCCGCATTCTCACACTTGTCAACCAGAGATTTTATCATTACACCAAGTAATGCCTTGCAAGCTATTTACTTTTCAAATAGAATAAATCCTGGATGGAAGATATGTTTCCTCCAAATACATAGTTCAAGGTATCTTTGAAAACCCAGCTGAGGGTTTTCAGACCAATTAGGCATTCCCATCTAAGGATGAAATTGAACTTGTCAGCCCCATTCCATTTAAAATTGTACTGTTAAAGCCCAACTCACCATTGATTTAAATTGGATGATAAATGAAGTAAAAGGAGTTTCCAAGTTTTCTTCATAATTACCATGGTGGTTAGTGCAGAACTGCTAATTCGATTATATATAGTAGTCCTATTTTTTTAATCTAATCTAATGTTAAAAAACATACTTTTCCTCTTTTTCCACTCCTTATCCTTCCTAAATCAGATCACCCTCATCCAAAACTACATAACTTTCATCTTTGCTTGATTCTCCATTTCCTTTCCATCAAGATGCATTAAAAAATCACTCCTAGATAATTCCATTCAGAACAATTGTTTCACATGACCTTATACCTTAAAGATTTCAGATATATACGCCCATACTTGAAAAACTTAAAGTTTCTTTCCTTCGCATTATTTATTTATTTTTTTCATGCCCTACAATGTAAACTGAAGAAAAGAAGAAGCCATCAAGATATTCTATTTGTCAACTGAAATCTTCTATTATGTATGTACATCAAACATTTAAGGTAAACCCTTTATATACCCATATAGTTGTTTAATTACGGACATAGGAATGCAGTTTTATTCACCTCACCATATGTATTCTTACTGTTCATCAATTGCATATTATATCTGTTTTTACCTGATAGAGATTTGCATGGCCATATATGATCACATTGAAAGCTTCTGCTATCATAGAAGATATGATTTTACTATTCAAGTTTTTGCTGGTTGCCTAAATTTTCACTTGGTTGATTTCTTAAGTACGAATGTGCTCTTAGAGCTTATATAATGACATCTTGTCTGCAGAGAAAATATAGGTGTGCAGTAGGGGTGCTCATGAAAATGAACCGACAATCTGAACCTAAAATCCCAGGGCAACAAAACCAATTGGTTCAGTTTTGGTTCTTCTTTTCAGAGATTCAGTTTTTCAGTTCAGTTTCGGTTAACCTAGGAAAAAAGCTGTGCTAACCAAACCAACCAGTATATTTATAATATATAATATATAGCTTCCCAATTATGTGTGCTCGGTTTATTAGAAGTTGTGAGTACTGAAGATTGGTGTGTTTTTATAATAATTACTAGTTGTTTGGTTTATTTGGTTGTATTTGGATAAATATTGTTGAAATGTTAATCTTTGTTTTGTTGGTGATAAAATATTATTTGGTCGTTTTCTTTAATTTAGGGAAAGAAGAGATTTATCCAAATACAACCAAATTTGGTGATAAAATTATTTGGTCGTTTTCTTTAATTTAGGGA